TTCTTGAACTCACATTGTTGAAGCTTTTTTTTTTTTGTGCATGTTCCCATCCTCAGATAATTCCAGACCTCAGCGATCCTTCTCCCCCATGGGTACACTTTATTCATTGATTGAGTAGCAAAAAGTAGTGTTTCTTACCTTTGATCTATTAATTTGTGGCTTTAACAGCCACGATTTGAGTTGCTGTGTATTTCACGGCCTCCCCGGCAGCAGGGCAGTGCAGATGGACCTCCAGAGCAAAGAATTGACTTTCATAACCCTCCACAGTCAGGGTTAAACCAAACCCAGCACTCAAAGTATTACCCAGTCACAGTCGGGCCTAGACTTAAAACGTGGAACTGAGAAATACTTCATTAACTGAGACAAGAATAATTCATACAATTCGGTTGAGAGAATTGCAGATTTTAGGAATAATTACACATGATTCTATTACAGGATTTCCCTGATTTTCTTTCAAGGGGGAAAGAATAGCTTTTATCCTGCGCGTTCATTTTCTTCATTGAATTGTTTTCTGCGACGTACAGTACGTTATGCTGAGCGCTGTGTTAAAGGTATCAGCTGACTGGGCATCTTTCGATGCCACGGCCAACCTCGAGTTGAACGTGCAGACCAATTTTCCACGTATCAGAGTAAAATGAGGGGTTGGGGAGGCAAGTAATTTACAGGGTTCTTTGTTTCTCTCAGATAATGAGATTCTTTTTGTGATCTGCCTTATAAATATTTGTATATTCACCTGAGGACGTGTTTAAAGTTGACTGTTTACTCCTGTTTACTATTTCTCTTCTTATTTCAAATCTACCTTTAGAAGATGGTGAAAGGACTTCTTCAGAGTTTATAGTTGTCTAATTAAAGTTGGCTAGACACACAGTAACTCAGAAAAATACCCTCAAGTTGTAACACATCAAGAGTTTTACGTTAAGGAGTAACCAGTGCTCATTTATAAGAAGAAAAATGATACCATATACCAGCTTACACTTCCTACAGGAATTTGAATTACACAGTGATAATCAGGGAAAGCTAATGAATAGCGTGTTTATCACCTTGTTTTTTCCCAGGAGAGCTTGAAAGAAAAAGTGTCCTTTCTCTTGGTCTCTTATTTAAGATACTGGTTATATGGGTCACCCCAGCCTTGCTGATGGAGTCCTTATCAGAGGTTTAGTTTCTGAAGATGGGGGAGTGGGGTGCCGTTTCACATATTATTAAGTAAAAATGTACGAGGTTCAAAGTCAGTAGAGTCTTGGTCCCGATTTTTCTACTAATTCAAATCAGTGTCGTTTGTCCTCAGTTTCCCTGTGAAAACGAGGTTGATCATGCCTTGTGCGGCACGAACATTCCCAGAGAGTTCAAATTGAAGCCTCACCGCCATCGGTGAGTATTTGTGCATTATGTTGCCTCTTATTAAAATGTCTTTGTTCGCTTGTTTGTTTTTAAGAACAACATAGACGTTTGCCCTGAATGTGGTCACCTGAAACAGAAGCACGTCCTCTGTGGCTACTGCTATGCGAAGGTGTGCAAGGAGACAGCAGAAATCAGGCGACAGATAGGGAGGCAAGAGGGGGGCCCTCTCAAGGCTCCTGCGGTGGAGACGGTGGTTCTGTACTCCGGGGAGACGCCGTCCCGGCAGGATCAGGGCAAGAGGATCATCGAGCGGGAGCGGAAGCGGCCCTCCTGGTTCACCCAGAACTGACGCCAGAGGTGTTCTCTAGAGAGTAGCCTCACATAAGACATTTCCCCTGGAAACGAGGAAGCGTCTTTGTTTTCATGTTGCTTGTGTGCCTTTTAAATCACCAATATAATTTAAAACATTCTCTATAAGCAGTTAGTCTTTTTTATGGGTACTATGAAGAGTGTATCAAGAGTAAAATCTGAAAATGTTCAATTATGCAGAGGCTCAATGGATTTATGTGTCTGTTTGCATGAAACTATCAAGTTTTAGTAAACGTAAAATTTCCAGGACATGAAAATGAAACAAATAATTTAAAATTCACAGCCAGAAGTACACATTTGGGCTCTGGTTTTGCCTGTTGGCCGGTGGTTCTTCTACACAAGGATAATTAGGCAAATGCTTTTGCTTAAGTAGCCCCTGGAAATGGGCTATTAGTTAAATCCTGGGTATTGTTTTTTGTGTTGTTTTTGGCACGGTAGCTGTAACAGTAAGAAGTTTGTTCTGTTTGGGTTTTTTTGTTTGTTTGTTTTAGCAAATTAAAATTGCCTTTGCATGGCACTTTATTACGTTAACTTACTTAGAAGTAGTTCCTCCCATTTTACATTAAATCAAAACCACATATAGAATTCATTAGGTGGCTCATGGAATTTGAATTTATAGTTTGGGGAGAGAGGTTTTTTAAAAGGAGACGTGAGTGAATTCAGTAGCACACAGAAAATGTGCTAAGGGGGTTGCCCTGGCATTTGCCTTCTAGGAAATCCTTTCAGTTTATTTTATGTTTTATCATTTTTATCTCCATGGCAATGGCCTTTTCATCTTAACCCAATTCATTTCGTCTTTCCCACTCCCTCCCCGACTCCTATATCTACCCTGAGCCCAATGTTTGCTATTTTCTTTGTTTCCTGCCTCATTCAAAAAAATAATTGAGAAGCATACTGGCCTATAATTTTTATCTTCCGGAAAACCTTTCCTCTTACGCTGTTATCTACAAGTTGATAAAGTATGCCTTTGTTTAAAAAAAAAAAAAGATAATAGTAAAAGTGAAATAGCTTATTAAAATACAGAAGTAAGGGAATTGTAGTTAAATGGAAAATCAGTAGACAAAATATGATAAAGGCCAGGGATGTATTTAAAACAAAATGCATAAAATAGTCTGACTACTTATAAGAACTAGGCAGTGAATTGAACCCTAAACTCTCTTTTCCTTGGAAGGGACTTCCGTGGATAGGTCTGTACCAGGTGAGTCACGTCATCCAGCGGGCCCTCCTGAGGCTCCTGTGGTGTGGCAATCCATGTCAGCATGCCTAGATGTAAAATTATTAATTTCCTGAAGTATAGTAGAGACCAGTGATACGTGAAAGAGCAACGGAGTAAAAGGAAATCCTTAAAACTTCAAAAGCACTCAAGTCTCAGCGTACAGCTCTTTCGAGGCTTGGCTCGACCCCCAGCATTAAACAAATTGAGATTCTGGAGGAATCGGTTATCTGCATATTTTTCTTAAGGCAATGCCCTGCAGATAATTCGTTTTTACTGTCAAGTCAAAGAAGTGCTCCGTGTCATACTTCAGTTAGATAGATTTGAAGCCATGATTCACGAAAGCTAAGGCTGACCAGGTACATACCTGACTCTCCCACCACCTACTCAGCATCTGAGTTGACTTAACAGGTTGCAAAGCACATGTCTGGGTGGACGTTGCAGAGGGCTCTCTATGCAGGTGAACTGAGTGAGAACGTGTGCGCAGGATCACTCTTCTGTCTGCTATTCGTGGACGGATAAACGTTATAAAAGGCCTCCCCGAATTAGCAAAGCCAGATGGCTATTTCATGTCAGAAAAGCCATGTCATAGGGGAAAGTGGTTTATCGCCTGTTTTGGAGAGGTTGTCCCCCAAAGTTATAATACATTTTATTGCTGAATGCTTTCAGTTTTTACTGTCAGAAAAAAAAAAGCATCATGAGTTTGAATTGAATCATTTATATAACCAGCTCATTCATGTTCTGAACATTAGACGTGAACCTCATCCCTGCCTCCCCCCATCAGCATCGGGCTGTTGAGTGAGACCTTCCACTTTTGGAGGTGGGGGTGGGTGAGGGGTGACGTCCCCTCTGAGCTTGGTAGCACTCCCCTCCATCTCCCTGTGCTCTTTAGCCAGGTGCTGGGAGATCACCAGGTTCTGAAAATCTAAATGTCTGACTTCATTGCACCTCCCTGCCAGTATCCTCATTCCGACCCTAACCATTTCTTTCCTGAGCTGTTACAATGCACTTTCCAATGATTAATTTCCAGTCTTCTCATATTTCTTATTAGCTTTCTTGAATAAAATTTAAATTGCAGAAATGATGCATCATTGTAGTTAATGAAGCAATACGAAGTATATAAGCAAAAGATAAAGGGTGATTTTCCCACCACCACACGTGCCACACCATCATGGAGTCTGTTTCTGAGTGCCACCCTGCTATGTGGTGGATCCTGAAACAGTTCTGATCCAGTCACTCCCTGATCAAAGCCAGGCTCCTAATTAAACCTTGTCTGGTGTCCTTATGATCTGTCCAAGTTTGTGGCCACCTCCCTCCAGGGAGCAGTCCACACCCTACTCCTCGGGTAGTTGACATCGTAACCACGTGTAGCAGAGAGTATGACCCCCTTCTCAGTGTACATCTCTCCTCCCACTGCCTGCATTGGTTTCGCTGTTCTCCTACCTCACAGTGTCTCCCTCTCAGATCCCCTTCCTCATTACTCCTCTTCCCCCCAACCTCTTCAGAGGGCCACGGGCTCCATCCTTGGTGATGCGCTCTGTGTTACAGCTTTAAATAGCAACTGTATCTTGATGCCTTCCAAGTTGGTATTTCTGGCATTGGCCTCTCGCGATAACTCCAGGCTCACATTCAGCTGTGTGCTCGGCCTTCCGGTTGAATGGCTAACAGATGTCTTGACTCAGTATCTCCAGCTCTGAGTCTCTTCTCTCCTGGTCCTACAATTCCCCCACTCCCCAGTCTCCCCAGTGTCCCCAGTCTCAGTTGATGGCAACGCTATTCTCCTAGTTGCTCAGTCACCCTTGACTCTGATGTCTCTCTGTCTCTCGCTCACACCCAGTCTGTGAGCACACCTACAAATCCCACGGGTGCTACATTTAAAAGTGACTTACATTCTGACCATTCATCACCGCCTGCACTTCTACCACCCTGATCACAGCCCCATCGGCTTCTCTGGAACACCAGTCCCCTCCATCTGGTCTCCTCTAGTCTGTTCCCAGCACAGCAGCCAGAATCCCTTCAAAACAGGTCACGTCTCTCCTCTGAAAATTCCTTTATTCAAAACCTTAACCCAGATGAAATGTGAGGATACGTACATGAGGACTTTTGCTTTACATGAGATACACATACACACACACACACACACACACGTGTGTGTGTGTATAATTTGTGAATAGACTGAGCTTTGATAAATCAAAAAAAATTTAGGTATACTATAGATGACCTCTATTTAAAGAAAGTGTCAGAGACTTTTTTAAATATATGGAAATTTTTTTCCTATTTTGCGTAGTGCGACTTTTAAATTCAAGATTCCTTCTCTTAAGAAGCACAAAGATACATCCCCGGTGTGGGGATCATTTTAACACTCCCGCCAGAGAACTAATCCTTGTTCCTGCCCCCACCCTCCCGCAGGCAGTTGTTATGTTTCAGGGACAGGATTAGTCCCTCCACATTTCTAAATCTGTGCTTTGGAACCCTGCCGTCTATGATTAGCGTTTCTTTTCCTGGCACACGCACCGAAATAGACGCTCCGTCTTTAGCTGCAACTGGGAAGCAGCAGTGTCATCCCGTGGCCTATATCCGCGCACAGCATCTTAATTGGTGGGAGTCGCCGCCAGGGGCTGTCTTCACTCGTCTCGACAGCAGAGGGCAGCCGAGAGCAGGTTCCTGGTGCTCTTAAGGGGCTGCCCTCGCCCACTTTTCAATCAGGCTGCTTTTACCGCGTTGGAAACACTGGCAATGATCCTGCCTTTCTGTCACCTCGCCCCTCCTCCTCTCCTGTCTCACTGGCGTCCTGTGATGTCGCTAGGGAGTGTCAGGGATGCCATTTGGAGCAAGGACGGGAGGAAAGAGGGAAGGCCAACCTGTTCTGGTCTCCCGGCCCCTTGTCGCGCTCAGAGCCAGCTTGACAGTTTCAGCCTGGACACCGAACCCTGGAAGTGCCACAGTTTCCCGGGCATCCCGAGCCGCCTCGCTAGGGGGCAGCAGGTGACCTGTAGTGACTCATTCCAATGCAATAAAAACCCGCCGGGTCCAGCAATGCTGGAAACATTTCATCTGTTTCTACCAAAGTCATCCGCGCGTGGAGAGCAGACAGGATTTCTGCAGGGGAGACAGGGCTGTCTGCAAGGCTGAGCCAAGGTGCTGGCTTCTCGCCTCTGTCCTGGGCTTCAGCGATGCTCTCCCGCGGCGGGGCTCCACTCTCTAATTTCCCTACCCCCACGCCCTTGGGGTGCACGCAGCCTGCTTAGTGATCACATTCTTTCCAAGAGTTTTTGCAGGATGGAAGCTCAGAATGCTACCGCTTTGTAGCTATTTCGCCAATATTTTCAAATAGGAACATTTCAGTGGCTAAAAAGAAGTACTGAATTTCTCATGACCGTGAGTCTAATCCTGTAGTTCTCAACCAGGGGCAATTCCTTTCCCAACCCTAGGGGCCTGAAATGTCTAGTGGCAATTTGGTTGTCACAACTAGGGGAGGGGGAGAGGAGTGCTCCTGACTCCTCGTGGGTAGAAGAGAGGGATGACACTGAATAAAATATGTGGAAATAGTTTAGTTTCTTGAAGTTTGAGTTCCACTGTATCTTTTCCATACTTTAAACTCACATCTCTCAGGTCTTGGCCTCTAGGTGTAATTTTCCCATTGATCTCCAGACCCATATATCCAAAAAAATACACCAGAGATTTCCATCAGGATGTCGCATCACAGCCTAACAACTCTTCCAAATCTTTCCCCCTAAATTTGCTTCTCTGGTAGCCCAGCTTGGTCCCTTATTCATTCAACAAACATTAATCATGTCTAATACTTATTTCCAGCTATAGCACACTCTTGCTTGGCTAATTGACATTTCAGGGTCAGCACATGGAAAACTATTGATCACCCCTGCCACCCATCCCCCTCAGCCAAACCTGTACCTGACCCGAACTTTCCCACCTTGATAAAAGTCATTGCCTCGTGCAAAGTTGCTCGAGCAAAACCGTCGTCATTTTTTATTTCTCTCTTTCCTTCTCATCAGACATAAGCAACTCCTCTCGACTTTAGCCCTATGTCATCACTGAGACCTGAGGCAATCGGTCTGGGGCCATAGGCAGGAATGCTGCAAAGACAATGATTGGAGAGGGGCAGGAATGCATGCAGGGAGACAGGCCAAGGGTCTCTGGCAGTAATTGAGGCCAGAGATGATACAGCACAGACCAGGGTGGTGGCAGTGGACGTAGCAAGAACTAGAGGATGTTGAGATATATTTCAGAAGCAGAATAGGGTGATTCCAAGTTTCTAGTTTGAGCAACACAGGAGATGTGAATAGGAAGCCCGTGTGAGGTGAGGGCAGGTTGTGGGGGGGACTGAAACTACCCATTTTTTGACAAGTTATATTTGAAAGACTATTGGACATCCCAGCTGTGATGGCAGGGTGGCCAAGAGCCATGCAAGTGTGTAAATTCGGAAATGGTCAGCAGATGGAATGTTTTTTAAAGCCACGGGAATGAATGGAATTGTCCAGAGCAGGTGCTCAAGAGAGAAAGGCGAACCCTAAACCGAGGAGGAAATCAGGAGAGGTTGTCCTGCCACAGATTCCAAGAATAGGGAGCCTCCGTTCTGTCTAATGCGGCTGGAAACAGGATCGATCGAAAAGGACCCAAGGATGGTGGTGGATGGAATTCGTTTGCGACGTGACAAAAGCAATTTCCTTTGAGTGTTGGTGGCAGAAGCCAGATGGGAGTGGGCTGAAGAATCGATGAACTGAGAGGTGGAGGCAGTGTTCCTAGACAGGTCTTTACAAAAGTTTTCCTCTTCAGGGGAGTAGGGAAGTGGGGCCATAGCTAGAGGAGGGTGGGAGATGCTGGGGCCCGGGTGTGTGTGTGTGTGTGCGCGCGCACTCATGCTGCAGACTGAGAGAGCAAACGTGTAAATTTATGTTCATGGGAATTATTCAGTAAAAGAGGAGGCTCTTGGTGAAATGATGGAGAAAAGCCAGCCAGACAGCCAGACAGAGGGAGCTGTCTTGAATGAAGGGAGAGGACAGAGCCCAGGGCTCACTATTTTTAGAAAAAGAAATTGCATCCAAAGCATCCTCCTACCTGAAGGTTACCGAACACCTGAAGGTTAAACCCGGAAGAAGACCTGGAACAAAGCTGCATCAACTATGTGTATCGAACAAATGGTTTTGCCCATTAAAAATAACAAGTAGAGAGTAATGGTGGTACTTAGGGGGAGAGACTAAAAACTGGTTTTAAAAAAGAAATAACCGTTTCAGCCTAATTTATTTTTTTTCAATCCTCAGGCTGGTAGACAGATGTATGATAACTTTGCTTTGGAATTTTTTATTTGTATTTTTTTATGGTTATAAATATATTCCCTGTTTGCCAGGTTAACAAAATAATGTCTTCAGTTTTTCTATGATTTTTTTTTTACGTGCAAAGTTTAGTCCCTCTGGGATTAATTTTGATATGTTTTTTAATGGGGGGAGATAATTAGGTTTATATTTGTGTATTTATATTTATTTATTTTAATGGAGGTACTGGGGATTGAACCCAGGACCTCGTGCACGCTAAACATGTGCTCTACCACTGAGCTATTCCCTCCTCCCTGAAATATGATATATGGACAGAATGTAACATGATTTTTTTAAATTGAAGTATAGGTAATTTACAATGTTGTGCTAATTTCTGATGTATAGCATAGTCATTCAGTTACACATATATATTCTTTTTCATATTCTTTTTCATTATAGGTTATTACAAGATATAGTTACCTGTGCTATACAGTAGGACCTTGTTGTTTATCTCTTTTATATATAGTAGTTAGTATCTGCAAATCCCAAACTTATGATATTTACCTGCATTGCCGCTTTCTCTAATACCGTTTAACATTGACACACATTTGCAGGATAAATTCTTACATATGCTAGGGTCTGTCCCAGGCTATTCACTCCCATTTCTGTTCGTGAACCAGGACAATGCCATTTGAATTACTGCAACATTGTAATGCATTTTACTGCATGGTGAAGAAAGTATCTCTTCCCCACTCTTCTTTGTTTCAAAAAAATTAACTCTATACTTATTTTTCAGAATGGACTTTAGAAG